AGCCATCTGACCCCCGACCCCAAAGAGGGCTCGCCGGCGCACGCAAGCGACACGAGGCCGCAGCGGGCCGCGAGGGGGCCACCTGCGGGGGCATGGCATCAGACCGCGGGGGGAGAGGCGCCAGAGGCGCGACGGGGAGCCGCGGGGAACACCTCGGGCCAACAAAAGCCGGGTCCTCCCGGAAAACGGACACGGGATGCCACCGCCACACGCCCGCGCGGTCCCGTGGCACGCCTGGGACGCCGGCAGCCCGCCTCCAGCGACCCCACGCGTTCCCCGACGCGCACCTGAGGCCCCCCACCGGGGCCCACAATGCGACACCGCCAACGCTCTCGACACCGGGCACCTACTGCCACCGGCTTCCTGGGGTCTCCATCCACCAACATCCGAGCCCCTGGCCCCGGGGGCCGCCACCCCGCGGGAACGCTCCCAAAGCCGATGCGGCCGAGGGGAGACCCAACGGGCCCAAACCCGTGGCCCCGCCGCCGCCACCCTCGCCGGCGGCGACCGGCCAGCGGGCCGCGGACAGCCCAGGGCGGGAAGCGAGCAGAGAGCCACCCCACGCCAGGGCCACAGGGGCAGCGCGGGACAAGCCACACGCAACCCCAGGGGCCCCGGGTGGTAAGCGGAAGGCCAGACAACACCAGAGGCATGCGAGCGACCGCAGGGCCCCTCCGTCGGGCCCGTAAGGCAACGGGACGCCCGGCCCTGGCCCAGCGGGACCCTCCCCCGACACGGGGGGGAGGCGCGGGCCACGGCAAGGTAGAGGCGCGAGAGGCAGCGTCCGGCCCCCAGCGGAAGGGGCCGGGAAGAACGAGCGACCATCGCCACCTAACGCACAACAACCCAAGCCATCCGCGTCGTCAGCAGCGTGGCTACCGACACGCACCAGGAAGAGGGAGGAACGGCGCGGCAAGCGGGGGATACGGCACCCCATCACGTAGGCACGTCCCTCTCGGATCGCTAGAGAAGGCTTTTCTCACCGAAGGCGAGCCGCACCCCGCCAGCCCCCACGTGCGCCTCTCACCGGGCACAAAGGGCCCCAACACCAAGGGAGCATCAACCCAACCCGGGGGACGAGCCCGAGGATGGGCGGAGGGGTCTGCGGCACAGGTAAGGAAGTCACCTGCCCCCCCACGGACGCGCAGGGGGCACCAGAGGCCGGCCGGGCGAGGCCACGGGCCGTGGCAGCAGCAGCCGGTGCTGCGCCCAACGCTTCCTTTTCCTCACCACCTCGACCCCCCAGAGGCTCCCGCACACCAGGCAGCACACACCAGCGAGGAGGCTGCAGCGGCACACCCGGGAGAGCGCACGCTGGGGTGGCAAGGGAGCGACACCACCACTCGGCTCCAGGCGCCTGAAAGGCAAACGACCCGGACCGCTCCAGGAGCACCGCACAGAGCCGAGCAGAGCCGGACTCTGCCGGACGAGCCCCACACCACCGCGGGAGGGGGCCCGCCCACGCCGTGACACGCCGGCACGGCAGAGGGCGAAGGGTGTCCGCCACGTCCGAGGACCCCCGCCCGGACCCCCACACCAGCGCACCTCCAGGCGGCACGAGGCAGAGGGAGCGGAGATCGAGCCGGGTTCCGCACCCCTGGCCTCTCCCACCACACCGAGGCAGGGGAAAGAGGAACCAGGAGCCCGCAAGACAGAACGAGAAGCTCGGCAGCATTCGCCATGAACGGCCGTCCCTCGTCTGTAAGCGGCTTAGGCCCGGCCCGGGAGAGCGCCACATCACCACATCGGTCAGTCGCGGTCTGGAATTGTGACATCACGCGAGGCACAGGGGGTCACGCCCGGCGAGGACAGCCGCCAGAGAGGGGGTCCGTCGCAGCCTCACCGGCCCCTTGCCTCCTCAGCGGCGGTGGCCAACCCCAGCGGAGGAACGCCTGACACGCACACGCGGCATGAAGCCGCTACTACCGGCTCAGTCTCAGGAAGGGGTCTCGTCAGCCACCGCTACACAACGGGCCGCCTGCGGCAGAGAGCGGACACGGGTATAGGACCCAGCGCCCGGCCTCACCCCCGCCGCTCTCGGGGCAAATCGTAAGCCGGAGATGGCAGCACCGTCGCAGGGCTCAACCGGGATCGCACACCGAAGCTGCCGCACGAACCCAGGCAGGCAGCTCGGCCGCCGGATGGGCAGGGGAGACGCAGTCCGACGCCAGGCCGCCGGCAGCCCGTCGCGCTCTCCCCCTGCCCCCCAGACGCGAACCCAGGGGCCCAGCTCTCCTGGCGACGGTCGCCAGGAGACAGCGTGTCAGCACCTACCTGCAGATCCAAAATGACAACTGCAGGCGTACAAATGCCCTTCCAGGGGACAACGGGGACAACCTATGCGACACAGCCACCCCCTCAGATGGGGGCCCGGGTCACAGGTCCCCAAAAACATACCCATCGACGACAGGGCGTGCTCCTGTGGCCACCTGGTCGACCCAAGGACTTAGAAAAGCAAACACACGCTCACAGTCCCACCAGCGGCCACGACCGGGTCCCCTCGTGCGGGCGACGAGTGTCGGGCCGGGAGCCCCGGGCCTCGCAGCCCCGTCAACGGCCCCGATCCGGTCCCCTCATGCGGGCGACGAGTGTCGGGCCCGGAGCCAGCCCCGTCGACGGCCCCGACCTGGTAGCCTAGTGCGGGCGACGAGTGTCGGGCCCGGGGTCCGGGGCCTCGCAGCCCCGACGACGGCCCCGACCTGGTGGCCTAGTGCGGGCGACGAGCGTCGGGCCCGGGGCCTCGCAGCCCCGACAATAGCCCCGACCTGGTGGCCTAGTGCGGGCGACGAGCGTCGGGCCCGGGGCCCGGGGCCTTGCAGCCCCGATGACGGCCACGACCGGGTCCCCTCGTGCGGGCGACGAGCGTCGGGCCCGGGGCCCGGGGCCTCGCAGCCCCGATGATGGCCACGACCGGGTCCCCTCGTGCGGGCGACGAGCGTCGGGCCCGGGGCCCGGGGCCTCGCAGCCCCGACGACGGCCCCGACCTGGTGACCTAGTGCGGGTGACGAGCGTCGGGCCCGGGGCCTGGGGCCCGGGGCCCGGGGCCTCGCAGCCCCGACGACGGCCCCGACCTGGTGACCTAGTGCGGGTGACGAGCGTCGGGCCCGGGGCCTGGGGCCCGGGGCCCGGGGCCTCGCAGCCCCGACAATAACCCCGACCTGGTGGCCTAGTGCGGGTGACGAGCGTCGGGTCGGGCCCGGGGCCCGGGGCCCGGGGCCCGGGGCCTCGCAGCCCCAATGACAGCCCCGACCCGGTTGGTGGCCTAGTGCGGGCGACGAGTGTCGGGCCCGGGGCCCGGGGCCTCGCAGCCCCGACAACGGCCCCGACCTGGTGGCCTAGTGTGGAGGCAGTGATAAAGGGAGTGCTGGTCGACCCCATGCACTCTAACGGTACTCCAGCAAGGTGACATTCAGGAGCGCGCAGACACCTAACCACCCCTGCAGCTGCCTGCCTGCTCACTTGCAAGCCTCCAGGCCCAATCTCCGAGCAGCACACGAGCCAGCCAGGTCCCAGCAGGGCTGGGACTCTCCCGCCTGCAGCTTGGGGACTTTGTCACACCCTGTCCCGGGCTCTCCACCCACTCGCTTCCCCTTGCCGGCTCCGGAGCACTCTACAGCTACAGCAAGGCTGCCTGCCACCAGGTGGAGTCAGACAGCCAGCACCAAGGAACAAAGGGACAGCACGCCGGATGCATACGGCCGGACAATGAATCCGAGAGAGGCAGGGAAATGTGTGTCATCTCCTCCCTCCCTCCCTCCCTCCCTCCCTCCCTCCCTCCCCTTGCAGGGGGTACCGGCTGGTCCCGGCCGCCAGGTCGCTTGCCTTGCCTTGCCTTGCCTCTCATTTATAACCAAACTGTGTTGTGACTGTTACTGGTGAAATGTGAACATTTTGTTTTGATTGGGGAGAATCGTGTTGGAGTAGTGAATGACCACGCATCTGCTGTGACAGCATAAATCTGACCTATCAGCACATTCTTGGGGGAAGGGGGGATACACTTGGTCACACACAGGTAAAGGGAAAAGGCAGCCAGAAAATAAAAAGGAACCACCAACATCGAGAGAGAAAAGGGAGGGAGGGAGGGAGGGAGGGAGAGAGAGAGAGAGAGAGAGAGAGAGAGAGAGAGAGAGAGAGAGAGAGAATGAGAATGAGAACTGAAAGGAAGGCAAAAGTAAGAATCAAAAAAAAAAAAAAAACAGGAACACAAAAACTAGGGAAGGAGAAAGACAACATAAAGGGAAGCAATGGAAGCAGTAGGGGAAACACACACACACACACACACACACACACACACAAAACAAACGGCCAGAAAGACACGAGTGAAAGAGATGAGGGAAGAAAATAAATCCAGAATGAGACCGCGAGAGAAAAGGCTCTAGGAAAAGGGAGAGAATGTAAAGATGAACAATGTCGAATAAAGGTGGGAGTCAGAAGTGAAATTCTTTGAGACGCAGGGGAGTGGGAGAAGGAGAGGGGACAGGTCAAAGGAGAAAGCGAAAGAAAGAGAGGAAAGCGGCGGTATTCAGCAATCAAAACAGAGAGAGGGGGAGTCTAAAAGGAAAGGAGAGATCCAAGAAGAAAGAAATAAGGAAACATCCCTAGGGAGGCAACAGATTCCCCCGCCTGGACGGAGCAAGAGAGCACCTAGAGAGACGCACACACAGTG